ATCCTCAGTCCTGTTCTTCTTTTACTTTATGGTTAAGAATAGAACAATAGAACTTGCTTTGTTCCATCTTCCCAAACCTATTTATCTCTACCCATCCCTCACCATAATATGATTGATGAAGCATAAAAATAAAAGGCTGAGAACTAATCAAAAAACTAGATTATACAATCTCCTTGTAAATTAGTCCCATAATGACCATGGGCCATCACAAAAAAAGATATTTAAGAAACAAACTTTGAAAATATTATAAAATAAAATATCTCTTATTTTAAACCAGATATACCCAAAATGCACACAAAACCCCTTATAAACCAATTTTTTCCCTAGAAACTACTGAACCTATTCCTGATTTATATCTAAGCAGAGTATTTTCACAGCACTCTAATATATTTCTTCTCCATCAGGCAGATTGTCATATTGTTGCAAGGAATGGATTTTTACAATAATGTTTTAGGTCAAACCACACAAAATTACCATTTTTGTAGTTCAAAAATAGCCAGATATTGGTACCAATTTTATAGGTCAAAAATGGTTAGATATTGGCAATTTCATATGGTTTTAAATTTATTATTAGCTGGGTGATTTTTCCCCCATGTTCTCATGACTTTAGGAATGTATCAGAATACTCATCAGGAAAGCAAAACCTTTCAGGTTTGCTTAAGTTTAGAGCAAAAATAATTAAGAGTTCCAGTTTTCCAGTTGGAACTAAATTTCTTGCACCAAGAATTTTTGCCCCTCCTTTATAAGTTCCATACAGTGCATCATATTTCAAGTGGGATCCTATGAGAATAAATTCTTAAATAACTGAACTTGATTTCTCTCCTGGTTTCTACTAAATACAGATAATCTTAGAATATACAGCTGAAAGCAGCCAAATTTCCCTGCTATTATTCTCTTCTTAACACTAATCCACGTTCTTTCTTCCTTTCACATCCTTGACTCTAAGTGGCCTGGGTGGATAATTCAGCAGGTAGAAAGAGGGCACCCTGGACCTGACATTTGACCTCAAAATCCCAAACATGTGAAAAAGGGCACAAAGAATATTTATTATCTCATCCAATCTCCAGGGCTCTTGTATCTTGATAAATGCAAAGTGACCCTTATAAATAAGATTACAAAGTAGAAACTAATAATATCGAAACTATCTTTCACTATGACTTCAGTCCTCCCTTTTTAGCTGCACACAATGTACATGAAGCAACAAACTTTCCAGATACAGAAGGAAGAAAACCTTCCTTCTGTTCCCTTCTATATTCTCTAACATTCCATCCCTTTCCTGATTTGTGTCTGTCTTATCAGCAGAGCTGTGGAAATACTAAGACTGTAAGGAGAGCTTGCACATACAAAACCTATGCCAATTTCTTAAATCATGCCCAACTAGAAATCAATGACATAAATCCTCATCCTTTAAGGAAACTCCATAACAGATTAAAATGATGAGTATCATATGTTTACAAATGGTAATTCAAGTACTTCACTACTTGATATCAATGTAGTTTGGAAAGAAGGGACATTATTTTATGCATGATAATGGGTATATAGCAAATAAACTCTACTCCAAATTATAGTAACTAAAAAATGTCAATGAGCATTTTTAATAATGTAGACGTTTTAGGATTTCAGCTCTAAATAAATTGATCTGACTCATCTGGACAGAGGTTTTGGCAGAAGTGGGATCATCTAATATGCACAACACTGATTAAAAACATTCTAAATCATGATGTATCTATGCTTACATCATTGCCAAAATGATTCATCTGTGTAGGATATATTCTTGCTGCCAGAGATGTCACGTATCGTCTTGGCTAGAAACACACAGTCACATCCCATTATGGTGAACTCTTAGAGTTTATCCAAATTCTTTCCTCTTCTGGAATTTTGTCAGGTTAATACCGCTTGACACATGTGGTCTTAAAATTTTCCATTCTAAATCTACTGCCATTTTGGCATTTGGCTGAATCTGGCCTTATGTGACCAGAATCACACTGAGTATGTTTAGTTTGTTGAATTTTAAATCTATGATGTTTATCACATTATAGACCTATTGACAGCCAAGGAAATGTCTGCATTTGAGACTCTAAGATACTTTTCCTTCTAAATAAGGCTATATATATATTTTTATTTAATTTGATATTGTATTTATATAACATACTAATCAAGTAGTTTTGCTTAAATCTGCTTAGGTTAAGTGTAGCCATTTTATGTTACAGACAGGCAAATTTAAATACTGGACAAACAGTTTATTGACCCAGTGCAAAACCATTAGCACAGCATTTCTTCTTGGTCATTTGAAATATTTATTGGCATTTTAGAACTGGTCATCAAAAAACCAGAATTAAACATCGGCCTTGAATGAATCATTTGTGAACCTGTTCTTGCTTATATTTCATTTCACAATCAAACTCTAAAGAATGAGGAGTTTATCTGAGAAATACAGAAGGGCAACCATCTTAAATCCAGGCACTATTAGCTTTATGAGCATATAAGCACTCATTACATGGTGCAAAATATTTATTGCAAATGGGCCTTAGCTACTAAAACATGTAGCTTCCTTTCATGTTGTGACTAAGTAATTTGAGAACTCTTTGGGCTGAAAATATAAAGGTTGCACACTGATCGTCAGCAGGGAAAACTGCTGTCAAATCAATGCATGTAACATTCCTCACAAATTGCAAACAAGGGCGTATTGGGCACCTGCGGTGCATGGTCTCTTTCACTGCAAATGCCAGATTTTTCTCAATTGAACTCTGACGTAAAGTTCAGTGATATCCAGTCTCTGTGGAGTTATGGCACTACTATTTCTGGATTTGTTTTTAAAAGACACTCCCCTGCTAACAGCATCTTTTCATCCTGCCATCTCTTACCTCCTTCTCTACATCAATACTATCTGGCAAAGTCTTTTTGTGTTGACTTTTACTTACAATATTTAAGACTTCTTTAAAAGGTACAAAAAAAGTTTTAAATACTGTAATTTATTTTCTTTAATAAAATGAATTTTAAGAAGTTTTAAATATTGTAATTTCATTTTACTTAGTATAATTAATTTTTAAGAAGTTTTATGTATTCTAATATGCTTTGGGCTCACTGGCAACCTGGAATGTCATAAAACCAGCACCGATGGTCCTTTTTCTAGCTCCGACATCCTTTTTTCTCACCTTAAGAACCTTACTTACTATCTCCCTTCAGTTCCCCACCCTTTTCTTATTCGTGTTTGTCTTCCTCCTGCAAAAGCGATAACAAAAAACACTGCATTTTGAAAATTGAAAGCTAAAAAAAAAAACAAACCCTCAAAAAACCCCCCAAACACTCAAGCATGTGACTAATCATGGGCAAAACATCTTAATTGACACTTTGACTCAAGCCTTTTTGGAAGCTACTAATAGTCCTACTCACTCTTCAAGGAACCACCTTGTATTCCACAATCAACCCACATGGTCTTGAGGTTATTTTAAAGAGGCCAGTTATGTTGCTTTTTTAACAGACTGGATTCAGGAGGAAATATAGCAGGCTCTTTCTCTGTTGTTTTCAGTAGTGATAAGTAAACTGCTCGAGTAAATTCTCAGACGGCTCAGTCTCCTCATAGTGCCCAACTTTTCACAAAAGCTACTAGTTATATGTTTATTGACTAGGTCTCAACTCCCACAGGCCACAGAACATCGAGGGCAGAATGTAATTCTCTGGCCTTACAGCCCCACCAGCCCTGCTTGTTATCATTTAACCATAACACAGCTGAGATTTCCCGAGGAAATTCTTGTCTTTTCTACTACTCCAAAACAGGGCATAAGGCATACTAATGAACTCAACCATGGTATTTCTCAGTCAAAGAAAAATGCCACTTCATTTGTCATATTAGTATCTGATTCCAAATGACATTTTAATTTTGCTAAAGGAATTGATGAGAGGTGGCCACAGAAAAGAGGGAAAGCTGACCGCTTGAATACTTGGCCCACAGAAACCCTGCCATCAGGCTTGCTGGGCATGCCATCTTGGATACCAGATGGACAGAGCAACTGATGTTATGACCACGATGGCTTTGTTTTGACCATTATCTCTATCAGGGAATTCCTGCAGCCCCCCCCCCCAGAGTGAATACACTGGAAGCACACTGTAACTGTCACTATCATTTTAAAATATTCTTCTGAGTTCATAGGAAGAATAGGAAAAAAGTTACCTTCCTACTAATGTCTCACATGTTACTTTCAAAATTCTTGTATATTTATCATATCCTTTTGTGTGATGTTCATATCCACTCTCTTCATAAGGTGGGGAAACTGAGAGTAGGAGACACAATTAGTGCCCAATCCATGTGCCCTTCCATTCATCATTCTTGAACTTACTGAAGACTTATTACTACAGAGTCACCTGTGGCCTTTCTCTGGCTGCAAGAGTAGGCTCAGTCTTCCCTGGGAAGTGCTGGGGAATAAACTACCCTGGGGAGTAGCCCTCAATGAATCACAGGGTTTCTGAGTAAATAGCCCAGCTTCCTCACCCCTCAGGGAGGACCTCTCTGAAGTGTGTTTCACAGTGTCTCCCAAAGGTTCCCAGTGGGATGGATCCACAGGTGCCCACAGCAATGACCTGTTCATGAACATACCCTCAACTGTCCACCTTCCCGTCTCACTTCCTCGCTCGCATACTGGTGATTTCAAGGGCTCACCTCACAAATAAACTACTTGTATCCAAATCCTTGTCTCAAGGTCTGCTTCTGGGGAAGCTCAACCTAAGACATGGGGGCACCGAGAAGATTAATATCTGCTAAATATCACACAGCTACTTCATGGAGAATGAGGGCTGGAACCCACAACTTTGGATTTCTGGTACGTTTACCAGATTAGGTTGCCTCTTGCTGATGACCGGCACTTTACAGAATTGGTTGCAGGACTTCTTGGCAAAATGAGGACACTATAAATGAAACGAAGTTGTTAGATGGCTAGTCTTGGCCTCTTAGGCACACAGCACCACCAGCAGGAGGAAACAGAAAAATAAAGGGTGGTAATTACCTAGCATGACGAAAGGGACTCCCAGGAAGGTGGAATTGTATTTCCCACCAGTAAGATTGATGATCCCAGCTGCAGTGAGAGTGGCCAGGCTTATGGTCACCAACCCGAGCAGACCTAGCCAGGGTTTGCTGCGGACGCAGTCCTGCATAGAGCAGCAGAGGATGGCCATAGTGACCACCAGGATCAGGCTGGTGACCAGGTAACGTTCTGACACACGGCTGGTCTTCTGGAAATCTTCCCTCAGTGATGAGGACGTGTAAGGGTATATTTTGATTTTGCTGTTGGATTTCTGGAACAGTCTGACAGTGTCGCAGAAGCTGGACTCCCACCTCTCAGCCACCATGTCATTGAGACTGTTGATTGACTGCAGGTAGTAGGTGAGTTGGATGGCCTCTGCAGATTTCACCCGGTCCTTGCTGTGCACGGTGACACCCCCAAGCTGATGCCCATTGTACACGGCCCTCCCGTCTTTTAAGTGAGTGATTGGGTATGTGATAGCAAAATTGGTCCGATTGGTGGCCCGAGCATTCCTTAGCTCTTCCAGGACATGCACTATGTCATCCACGATGCAAGTCTTATCATTATTCAGGATACATATATGGGCAAACGTGTAATTAAAACCAGGCCTTGGAACCTGGATCTTGGTCACAGCAGCATGCAACTGTTGGGAAAAAATGACAGTGTTTATTACCAAAAATTAGATGTTAATAAGACAGACATTAGCTCTGTGGGTTTGAATATTTCTGTTTTTTGTTTTTTGAGGGGGGAGTCAGTCATTCCATCTCTAAGCTAAAGAGTTCAAATTAAATGTTACAATCTTAGATCAGAAATAGGTAGTAGGGATGCAAAACACACACTTGACCAGTGGCTCTCACAGTGTGTCCCCTAAACCAGCAGCATCAGCACAACCTGGGAGCTTGTCAGAAATGAAAATTCTTGTGTGGGGGGGAGGGTGGAGCCTAGGAATCTGGGTTTTCACAAGTCCTCCAGGGAATTCAGATGCAGCTAAAGTTTGAAAAGTGCTACATTAAAGCACCAGCATTATTTCCACAAGGTCTTTATTTGGGATCCAATTGGTCTATAGTGTTTGGAAATCTTATATAGGTCCCCTGTTCAGTCTCCCTCTTGAAAATGTAATGTAAAAAGTGAACTAAGGTACAATTCCAAATGCAGAGGTCCTCTGCAGCTCCATCCTTTGCTGCTGATTTATAGGGCAGCCAAATGATCTTCTCATCCAATTCAATCACTCTCTACCATAAAAGACAAGAGGTTCACCTTGAGGGTCCTTGTATTCCTTGGTTTTCTTTGTCTGCATAGTAGGAAGGAAGAGAGCTGTAACTGTAAGAGCCTGGCTGGGATACATGGGAATCATGCGAAATGAGAACAATGGGATTTATTCTACATGTTGCCCCATGTTGAATTTGCTTTGCCCAGGTACTGTATTCCTGCCATCAAAGTGCACATGAGAACACAAGCACTAATTTAACTGCCCCTACTACATGCCAGACACAGTTGTAGGCCCTTTACACAGATTAACTCATTTAATCCTTATCAGAAACTACAACGTAGTTACAAGTGCTAGCCTCATTTTACAGATGAGGAAATTGAGACAAAAAAACCCAAGTCACTTGCCCAAGGTCACACACATGGTAAGAGGCAGAGCTGGGCTATACCAGGCAGTCTGGCTCCAGAACCTGTGCTCTTAGCTCCTCACCATACGCCTCTAGGTTGGCACTGCCAGTAGCCGAATGAAGGTTCTTGCCAGCAACTAATTCCTGAATTTGTGCTTTTACTACCCCACCCCTAAAAATCACAAGTAGGAATATGTGTAATCTGTCTAAGATAAGAAAACAAGGCAATGTAGGGAGGCAGTAAGGGACTTAAATGACCTACTGCCATGTGTCAGGGTTTCACACCTGAAGTTCTCTCAACAGTTCATTTTACAGATGAGACAACTGAGGCCTGGAGAGAGCTGTCTTTTTAAATGGCATTGTGTTACTGTTTCAATAGTAGCTACAGGTCCCTAATTTAACTGTATCAACTAGCCAGCTGCTTGTCCTCATGGTGGCTTTGCTTTCTCTGTGTAAAATGTGGCCAGTCTGGAAAATGAGGCCAGTGGCAGACACGTAGTTGAGTGTTAAGGAAATGAGTGTATCTAGGATTGTGCCTAGCACTGTGTGGGCTCTCCCAAAAGCACAGATAGCCATTATTGCGTGTCTGATGAATGAAGAACATTTCCTATGTAAAGAAAATAGAATTTAACATACACAGAGTAGCCATACTGTAGCTGTGCCATTACAGCTCATAATCTTCTGAGACTCTCCATGACCCTGATAAATTTTCTCAGATTTCTGTTCTAGATAGATTATTTGTTAAGACATTTTGCTCTGCACGTGCCTGGGCAAGTGGGATATTATGCTTTTAAAAATATATCTGAAGGGCACCGGCTGTCAAAATTTTTTTGTTAGCACAGAGCATGAGTTGTTAATCCTAATTTTTAGTGCCTCTTTCCCTCACATCTCTTCATGGGTACCAACATTTAGGTTCATAAAACATTTTACTGTATTATGTTTGGCTGAAATATTTTGAGTTCTTTCATATATATTAATATATAGCTACACACACAAGGAGACCTAAGGGGCTATTTTCACAACCCTAAACATATGCTAATCGTTTGTTTTGATGCTTTGGGACTAATGGTGAGCAAAATGTCTTCAATGGTTTTAAGCTGTGAAAGTGTGCTTTTATCCATTCTTTTCTAAGCATGGTCCAGTGAATTTTGATTAAAAGAACTCCTAACTACAAAAATTTTCCAAAATGTAAAAGGTTATTTTGGACAGGAGAAGAACTAAGGAATTTAAAGACAAGAGAGTTTTGATAAGAGATGAAAGAAAGACTTTGGGGAAAGATTCAAAAGAGGCTAGAAAAGGAGTGGTATTGAAAGCATGCATATGTGTAATATTTAGTGCATTGTTTGTTCCCATGAGCAGTGTAATAAATCTTCCTTAGAGTGATTACTAAATATGTCAAGAGAAAAAGATTGCCAAATAAGATGGTGTTAAGCCACAGGGCTGAACCCAATTATAGCAAGGGGATATTTTCCATCCATTCTCTAAGTTGACCATGCCCTGCTGGGTGGGGAGTTGTAAACTATTTAGTGATCTGCCAACTCTGCAGATCTACTGCTATGACCCCTGAGACCATACATTGAAGAAAACAGACACCATGTTAACCCCTGTACCACCAGACCATAGGAGAATGAGAACCTTATTGAAGTCTGAGAGAGGGAAGGTTTCTTAACACCAGAGCTGCTGTAAGATACGCCTGCCTTGACTTTCTGATGGAGTGGTGGGCAGAACATGTGTCACTCTTGCTTCTGAGTGGCAGGGTGATACAGAGTGACAAAGCAGTCAGAGAGGGAGTGTTGTCTGAGGCCACCCACCTGGCAGGGGGAGCCTGTGGGATTCTACTGTGGGATAAGAGGTGAAAGGATAATAAGAGGCATGGGAAAGGAGAGTTAAGACGTACTCCCTTCTGTGACATCTGAGATAGCTCCGTTCTGATTTTTGGTTCTTATGACTCTATATCTAGTACACACACAGTCCACTCTTGGACATCCACAAAGTCATGGACAGACAGACTGCACATGCTACCCGAACATCTACCCATATAGGGTTTTAGAAAGCCCTGACTTTCCTAAAGGAGCCCCACTCAGGATAGTAGAAACATTAGTAGATGTTCTAAACTATGGTACCAGATATATTCACAGGGGAAAAAGGAAGCCAGAGATCAAAGCTATGCTTCAGATAATACACAAAATGGACAACCTCAATCCACACAAGTTTAATATTGAACTAGGTAAGAGACTCTCTTCTCAAAAAAAGGGAAAAATGACACAAAGTAATAGTCCTCACCCTTGGTGCGGTCTGAATCTGTCATGCAAATCAACATATAATCCGTGTTTCTATCACTATGTATAGATTTTAGATGATTCACCCAACACACATTCAACAAGTACTCATCAAATCCTCTATGTTGCCAATAATAGGATAATTTCCCTGAATTTAGTGTGCTTGCACTCTTGCATGGAAGAATCATGAGGTACAATGTCCAAAACAAAGGAAATATCCTAACAGTAAACAATGCCAAGCATTTTGTACTAGTAAAGCCCAATCCAATGTCAATTCTGATCAGAACAGTTTTGATTATTATTGTACTTGCTGTGAAAGAGGCCAGACCGAACGTTAAATTGAGATTCATTCCAAAGCCCTGAACATATCATTTAAATTATTAGCTGCTTTGCTCTCATCACCCTTCAGTTTGAGAATGATAATGATAATAGTAGGACTTTCTGTACAGTTGTAAAAATTTATTCAATGCAAAGACTCTATGAAAATGGTTAAATGATTGTCTTCAATTTACAGCTGGTGCAACTGAGGCCTAAAGAATTTTAATCACTCACCTATGACGACCGAGTTTAAGTAAAAGGCAGATGCAGGATCCTAAATCAGGTCTTACGCCACAGCAGGACACTTATCCTGGACCAACACAAATTCAGTAGTGAGGACATAGAGAATTTAGAGAAGAGTCAGCCTGCCTGGTTCAAATAACTAGTGGTAGGTATGACTGAGCCGTGGGACGGTCACATGTGGAGGTGTGGGATCCAATAAGAGAGACCAGAAATAATCCAAACAGCCAAACCACATCTCCAGATGGCAATATTATATGATAATATTAATAGGGTAATGAAGGGGATAGATTTTGAGTTTATTGATTTTTCTTAATCACCATCCAGCCTCTTAAATTACTAACTAAACCATTTCAAAGACAGGCTTACTAAGAAAAAAGGCCATGGATACAAGGAATCCAGTAATAAGTTGTGGCTTCCAGTATGGCTTCTGCTACTTACCTTTGAAGTGTCAGAGACCTTAGGAATGTCACTCTACTTCTTTAGGTCTGAGACTTCAGGTCTCAGATTTATCAGTAAAAAAGAGGTATTGATCTAGCTCATCTTTAAGGACAAACCCTTCCAGGTCTAACACTACATAACTGTAAGATGAGTGACATTCACAAACTATGCAATCAGATACTGGGTGAGAAAGTTAACTTTATAAATATCAGTTTAAGATTTTATTACAGCTGCTTGAGGTATGCTTTTCCAAAACATTGACGTTCTTTTTAGGACAACGACAGACCTGATAGTGATGAAACCCAGATGGAAAATAGGGTAAAGAAAATAGGTTTCCTAAAAAAAAAAAAAAAAAAAAAAAAAAAAAAAAAAAAGATTCCCTTCTCTGAGTGATTTCTCGTTCTGGGGAGGCACTGGCTCTTATAATCCCCTTCTGCCAGAGCCTGGGACAAAGCCAGTGTGGGCTGCCGGTCACGACAGGCCAGAGTCTAATTTCCTCTCTGCCTCTCCTTGGCACACTCAGATCTTCCTCAGAAGACAGCAGGGACACCTTGCAGAGGAGAGTACAGAAGGGATCTGGGAGGAAGGAAGTCTCTGCTCCTGAGTGGTGACTAACATAGGAAAAATACCTGTGGGTTTAGAGGATCTTATACAATACCTTTCAGCTCTTTTGTATTTGTTTCTTGTTGAAAAGAGAAGAGGGAAGGCAGGATGGCCACTCTGCCCATGCAGGGCAATTAATACTCTCTGGG